CTCTCTCTCTCTCTCTCTCTCTCTCTCTCTCTCTCTCTCTCTCCCCCTCACTCACCCTCTTCTTTCTCCACGGATTAACATAGACCCCCCTGCCCGCCTCAAAACGAACAACAGGTACATTTCTCCGCTGGTGGTGTCCCTGGCAAGTCTCACGGTGCCCCTCCTAGCTGTCGTGGAGGGCCTCATGCTAGGGGTCGTGTCGCCCCCTGGCATCCTGTTCGGTATCGGCGCGTCCCTGATCCTGACCGGGGCGGGTACGGCATCGATGGTGACGCTGCTGCCCCACACGGAGGTGTTCGACGCGACCGAGGCGGTGAAGACGACACAAGAGGGGGTCGGGGACGCCGACAAGAGGTGCGTGTCGGGGTGTATGTGTTTTGTGTGGTTTTGCTTTGTCAGCGTGGACCGTTCCTAAACGGTATCTCTTGCTAAACGGCCGCTTCATGAGAAGATGGGGGTCTGTGTGTGTTGTGTGTGTTTTTCTATTAGCATGGACCGCGCTGACGGCTGACCGCTGAATATACGTCAGTCTTGAGTGCTGTTGAAAACAAGAAATGCTTTTAAAGGCCATAATGTGTTTGTGTATTTATTATTCAGCAGCGACCGCGCTGACCCGCCTAATGAAAAGGCGTCGGCGTAATATCATAGCGGGAACAACAACGCCAGTACCCCCTTCAAATCGTGGTCCGGTGGGTTTATGGGCGACAAAATGGTCGGCGTTTACTTGTTGGTGCGATGGTCACATCCCTGACCCAGGGACTCTACCCAAAGTCAAAGAAACTGTGATAAAGAGGGTCACCTCAATCCTGATCACCAATAATTCTTTCGTGCGAGTAGAGGCGGCTGATCCCCTCCCTCCCTACCGCGTTGCCCCTGATGGGTGCCATTGGTCACTTGACGTTGTTTCCCCTCATCCGGCATCACGTGCAACACTACGCGCAACGATTCGTGGCAACATCAGCCCGGTACCGGGCTCGAGCTTGACCAACTCCCCCGCGTTGGGGTACGGCAGCGTCAACGGCAGGGGTGGCGGAGGGGGCAAAGCTACCTCCCGCGGGGAGTCCCATAACGGGGAGTTGCGGCCCCTGCTCTCGCTGGAGGCGGAGGACAAGAAGGCGGAGAGCGGCTCGTCGGAGCAGCCCTCGCTGCTGTTCAAGTAGCGCCGCCAGCCTGCAGGGGGCAGCAGTGATAATCCAGTAGTAGCGCACTCGCTGGAAACAGTTGGCAGCAGCAGCAACACAACCACCCGCCGCAGTGTGGTAGTAGCGCGCTCGCTGGAAATAGTATCATAGGAGCCGCTTTAGTAGCAGCATTTGGCAGCCGTATTTCCACCCACCGCAGTACGGTAGTAGCGCCCTCCTCGACAGTAGTAGGAGAAGCTTCAGTGGCAGCCACGCACGGTAGTAGGAGCGCCCTCGTTGGTTTTAGTAGGAGCAGCTTTGGCGGCAGCAGCGTCATCCACCGCAACATGAACAGCGTGTTCGTTGGTCATTCCTCTGGTTGCTTTGCGTGGTCAAGGCAATCGAAAAACGTGTGATGTGTTCCCTTTGTTGTGGGTGCCGCTGGCGTTGTTGTTTATCGTTGAGCTGTGGCCATGTACCATACTTAAACCCTTTGGTGATGGCGAGTCGTTTTCGGTTTCGATGTGTCGTCCCCTCTCGTGTCGGTCTCATCTACCACTCTTCCGGCGGTGCTTTGATCGTGCCGCACGGCAGTTATTTGAACATCATGCTGAGATTCCGTCGCAATTAGTCTTCGGTTTGCTGTCGTCCTTGATGCTTTCGTAGCGCCGTCTCTGGCGGGAAACGGCAGCCAGAGCATCTTCTCGTAGCTCTTGGGGGAGCGCTGTGGGTCGTGCCGGCAGTTATTGTGAAAGTCGTGTGGGAATTCCCCGAAGAAGTGTTCGTTTTCCTTTCATTTTTCATGGTTTCGTAGTCGGTACTCAGTAGAATAGTGTTTCCATTGTTTGTGTTGTATTTGTCCGGTTTTGCATCGGAGCCATGCACATCCAATTCTCGAAAACAGGCGTGAAGAGACTTTTTTCACCCTCTTTCGTCTTGTATAATCACATCACGTCACGTCCTAAAAGCGAAAAGTCTTTGACCGTCTTTGAAGGCGGCCCCTTTTTCTCACCCGACCCGCTTAGCTTGCACCGTTTGCCGACTTTCAAACTGTAGGTGCAATAGAACGCACGCATGTTGTGCACCAAGTGGGTGCGTTTAGGCGCGTGAATGATGGTTTTGGTCCGTTTTTTGTCTGCGCTGTTTGTGGCTGGTCTTGATGCTGTGTTCCGCCGGTAGGATGTAGGAGAGTCCATTGCTGTTGTTGACTTTCCTCTCCCAAGAAAAAATGTTTTTGGTTGTTTTTTTTGCCCTTCTTGAACGTTGCAGTACCAACCAACTAGCTTTTGTTCTTTGTTCCTCCGCGAAACCAGCCCCTAGGTACCATCTGAGGGTAGGATTGGATTGTATGAGATCGCGGGGTGCGGAGTTTTAAGGTGCCAATTTGGTGCTCACGATCATCATGAGTTGCCGACGTTTCTGCTTGGATGTTTACACTACCAGTCTGGAGTTCAATTAGCATTCGGCTCTGTAGTTGTGTGCTTTATTTATTACGTATGTATTTGTTTTTTCTCGTTGCCTGTGCTCAAACGCGGAACAACAATGGATGAAACGAGAATGGGCTCTATGTGTAGTGCATACCGTCGTGATTTCGCTCTGTTTAGTGTGCGCCGTCTTTCGTCGGTGGAGATACAGAACGTAGCTTTCTCGCGCAGGCAGCAGCACGGTAGTATTGGCCCCCCACCGGCGTATTCTATCCTGTCCGGCGGATCGGAGTAAGAGCATCTATCTTCCTTTCAGTCTTTATTGGCCCTTTTGGGTGAAGTGCAGTTTTCTGATGTCAAAAGAATACTGCGATTTGTGTCTCCGTTCATTTCATTTGACGCGCACGTGTGCGGGGGCATGTGGAGTGGCTTTGAAGAGTGCGTTCAATCCAGTGCCGTGGTTTATGTGTGTCTTGTTTTGTCTGTCGTGTCGTATTGCGAGAGGGGGGCGGGGGATGTAGTAGGGTAAGCGGAAAACCGAACCCATTACCCTAACTAGCGCGTGCAAGGACTTTGTTCTGTTGGTATTTCATCTTTCAGGCGTCGGTAGGAGCACGCTCCATGTCTGCATGTTGTCGTTGTTGAGCATATTTATTGACCTTGGCATCTGAATGAGGACCAACCGATGAAATTCCCGGGGGGTTTCTTCGTTTGGCACAAGCGCCATCATGTCTGTGTGTGTGGTTTCGGGACAGTTTAAGCACATGTGGGGGTGACGTCCACGGCATGTTGTCCTCTTTCAGAGTATTCCTGTGGCGATGAGCGCACCCTTACTGCGGGCGTGATGTTGGGGTTTCGATGGGATTGCACCGCTCTTCGGAATATTGGATAGGACCATATAGGTCAAGACATCGTGTTGTATGGTCAGAAATAGTGAGATGTATGGGCGTCGCGTTGTTGCTGGTGGCAGACGTATCGAGAAACCAGCAGGTGATTACAGCTCCAAACATTCACACGTGCAACGAAACTATCACCAAGCGCCGCTGCGATATTTGAGGTCGGCCAGCCGTGTACATATATGGAGAATATCCCGGTTGGGTCGTCTAGCTGGTAAAAGTGGAGGATAGGGGCCAGAAGAATATATATACATATTTATATAGTCTATATATGGAGAATATATGTTGCATTTCGGTTGCTGCCGTTTCATCACGAAAAATAAATGTTGATCTGATATCCTTGCCGCTCCCGCTCCGACCTGGACGTCTTGAAGAGATCCAAGAAAGGATGCATAATTGGCTGTGCATAATGCGTGCATCATCAGGTGCACACGAATCCAAATCATCACTCGCCGTGTGCATCGCCGTCACCTAGGAGGGGCCCACACTCAGGCCCGATCACACCAGTAGATGTCATACATTTGTTCTTCTCGCCGACCACGACCGGACACCGGTACTGTACACAGCAAACCCAGAAGACCTTGTACAAGAAACGGAAGACCCCCGGAAAACAAATAGCGGCACAAGAAGCGACGCACCACGCGAACGCACCACCCCACGAAACGAAAGGAAAAAGGAGAAGATGAAAGAAAGTGTCACGACCGAGAAGGAATCGAGAGCCACGACCAAATGTAAAGAATGCATGCATAGCAGAAGGAACTCCCCCGTAAGAAAGCACGAACCCCCAACGTGGGGTGAGGACGGCAAGGTGAAGCAGGAAGTAGTGTCCCAGACACAGGAAAAGGAAAGCTGTAGAACCGCAAAGAGCCCTCTGGACATGCATCGATGGTGTAAGCGCAGACGAAGACGGATGTGTGCTATTTTCGAAACTAGAACTGAAAACATGAGAAAAAGCATTTGAGAGCCTGGCGACGTGCTTGGAGTGGCGACTGCTCCACTTGTGCAGATTCCGCTTGCGTCGATTGATCCTACATAGCGGACGACTACGGGCGTTGGGTTGGGTGACCCTACGTCGCCGGCCCTCCGAGGCTGGGCCGCCGTCCCGCGTGAGTTCATTGCATTCCAATATTCCGGTTGCGGATCGGGAGATCTCGGACTCTCTCACGGCCTCATGCCGCCGAAACTGCCGCCGCCGGAATTATTGGTGGAACGGCTTTCGGATGCGCAGCGACTCAGTTTTCGCGATTTGTGGAAACGCTTGCCTGCACATTGCGCGATGATACCTATTATTTCCATGACTCGGGTTGGACCCCGAAAGCCATTGACAGCTTGGCGAATGTGCTGTGTGACTTTCCGGATGTGTTTTCGCGGTCACCATACGACCTTCAGTTGTTCCGTGAAACCATTTCGTCTGGAAGCCCCCCCCCCCGGCATGAAACCGCTGGCCTCGCGTCCCAATAGGTTTTACCCTCTGATGGAGAAAAGGTCGAGGCCATTCTCGATCAATACCTTGCAGCCGATCTTATTCAGCACTCGTTATCGCCGTGGGCGCGTCCTTTGGTTGTCATGCCAAAGAAGGACGGCAAGCTGCGTTTGACCATCAAATGTACGAAACGCTCAACAAACTGTGCAGCCCAGGCCAACAACCGCAGCCGCGTGTTGACCACAACAAATAATCAATTCCCTGCACATGGGCAGATGTTTTCCATTTTCGATCTGAACTCCGCTTTCCACCAGATCAAGGTAGAAGAGGACAGGGTCCAGCTTACGGCGTTTTGAACGCTCACGCAACTTTTGAGAAACCTCAAACTTTCTACTTTCAAGTGTCGCGTCGGCGCTGAGGAGGTAGTATATTAGGCCACACCATCTTTCCTGCGGGCGTTAGCCCTCGTGCCGATCAGATCGAAGCCCTCACGAAAATGCCTCTGCCAACCGACATAAAGCAGCCGCGTTCTTTTGCTGGGTGGGCTTTCGTACCACAGTAGCGCAAATTCATCAAGGTTCTGTCCGTACGCGTTCAACCGCTCACAGACCTTCTTGCTTAATGACGCCAAGTTTTGCTTTACACCCGACATGGCGAATACCGTCCGAGAACTTTCGGCAAAACTGTTTGAGCTTCCGGTTTTAGCCTTTCCGGATTTTGGACGCTGTCGCGGATGGCAGCCGTCACGTCAGGGTTTGCTGTGGTGCCTGTGTAGATGGTTTTGGTGCGGCGCTCGATGAAGAACAGGCTGGCTGACAGTTCCATCCGTCCCATTCTGTTCGTGAGCCGCGCTTCGCTCGAAGCCGAGCGCAATTGGACTGTGTTAGACTTGGAGGCCGGAATATCGCGTGGGCAATATCACGCCTTCGGAGTCCCTCTTGGTCTAGACTACAAAAACACTTTCTGATTTATTCGGATCACAAGGCTTTGGAGAGCGTCGTCAAGGTGGGCGAACACAACGCCCCCGTACAACGTTGGCTCGAGTTCCTTGCCTCGTTCAATTACACCCTTGTCTACTGTGAAGGCACTGCCAACGCCAATGCGGATTTTCTTTCGCGGTTGCCTTGTGGCCGGCGACCGATGCGGACAGACACGGTGACACCAGATATCGCAGTCGATGACGCCGCGGGTGTTCTGCTCTAGTTCGACGCCGAACATCGACTTGGGTGCGGTTGCCCCTGGCGAGCGACGGGACGGGTTGCCACACGCGTCCTTTGACGGAGGCTGACTTTAGGGACTTCCGCCGTTTTGGGCCGCAAATACATGTGGTCATGCCGGCCCCGGAGCCCCCTCCCTTTCTTCACCTGTCGGTCGTTCCGCCCTCTGGTGATTTCACTGTCGTCAGCGACGCACTCCCCATGAGTTCTGTGCCCGATGGATTTCCCCCGGCTTCCGTTCCTGCGCTGCCGGACGTCGCTCCCTCGTCCACCGTGAGGACTTCAGCAGCTACCCTTCCGCTTTCGCGCGCTCCTCTGATTTCTTCTCGTACTCGGGGCGAAAACGAACTCGGCCTCTGGCATGGCTCAAGACTGTCCCAGTTATTTCCGAAACAACCACAGACTGTTGTTGTGCCTAGAAAGCCGCCGCCTCCTCGGACGCCGGCCCGCTCGAGCGGTGCTTCGTGGTCGACGCCAGCCGCGGGCCGCTCTACTTCTGGCTCATCGCCTTCTGCGGCGTCGGCCGAGTCGACACCCCCGCCGCGGACCACGCGTGCTCCGGCACCGCCGTAGCCCGCGCCCGCTGCCGCAACGCCGGCGCAACCGACGCCCGCGGAGCCCGCGTCGCCAGTGCAGCCATCCGCGGCTACTAGCCCCGAGCCTCCCGTTGTGCCGCCCACGGCCGCTGAGGAAGCTCACCTCCGCGACTGTGTGGATACATTCTCGCACGCTGATTGGGCTCGTGAGCAGCGGTCGGAAAGTGAGTGTGTGGCGGCTGTACATTCTCTATCTTTGGGATCCCCGATGGTTTTGCCGGATACATTCTGGGACTCCTTGCCTTATGCGCGATGGCCACCGTTGTCTGATGTTGTCGCCCTCTACCGGATACATGCCTGCACACTGCGGATGATGGTACGAGGTTGTTGGTGAGAAATTCTGCCCCATTGCCCATCGGTTGTTCGCGCGGGCGTACCACTCGCCTTCCACCCTCGAAGACTCCGCGAATACACGTGCCTATGATGTTGCAATCTTCGGTCTTACAAGCATGGCACGCAATCGCGTCTTTCCATCTGGGCACCGCTCGTACTCTACGTGTGTTGGAGGGGTTTTTCTGGTGGATTGGTACGGATTTGTCCGTTTGCTGGTGGATTCGGCATTGGTTAAGCTGCCAAGCGCGCAAAACTTCCCGGCAAATTTGTTTACGGGCCGTTTCAGTCGCCGGGCGGATATATATGCCACTACCAAGGCGGAAGTTTCCGCTACGGGAACGGCTAGCATTTTCGTCAATCGTTACTTAGCGTTGTGGGGTTGTCCAGTGACTCTTCTTTCGGATAACGGTATGCAATTTTGTTCCAAGTTATCCATGACTATTTTCGAGCTGATGAGGATTAAGAAAGTCACTACCAGCTCGTAACACCCCCAAACAAACGGTGGGGCCGAGCGTGTTAACCACACCACGGCTCAAATGCTAGCTGTCGTGGTCAACGAGCGCCAGGATGGTTCGGACGTTCATCATTTCTCCCTCGTGTCGAGTTCGCCTACAACAACTCGGTGAACACCGCCATGGGCTTGGCGCCGGACGAAGTGCATTTTGGACGATTTCCTCTTCTCCCGATTTCTGTTTTGGACCACCCTCGCGTGGGTGACCACCAATTTTTGGACTGTGACCAGCTCGCCTTTTGCAATCTCTCGGTGGAACGTCGGAGACGAACTTACACTCTGGTACGGAAACAACATGCGATAACGGTGTCGAACGTAAGAACTCTGTGCTGTTGGACGGTTCGCGTCAGATTCCGAAATACAAAGTTTGTGGTTGGGCTTGGGTCTACAGCTCCGCCGCTACTATTCGGTGCTCAAAGCGAAGTTTTTGCTCAACTACACCGGACCGTATTAGTCTTTGCCGTTGGTCCGGCCAAAGCGGAGGAGGGAATGAGAAGGTGGTGAGGGGAGACCAGAACGGTTGCTAATGTGAATACAACATGAACACCCTTCCTCCTTTTCTGTAGTTCGAGTACTGTCCTTGCATGTACATCTCACACATACATTTCGAGCTTTGCAGAGGGCGGGAGACCATGGACGAGCTGAAGACCTCAATATTGGACGGCCCAAATTCAAGAAGAGGAGTAATAACTTCATATACCTTGTCTGCTTCTGCGTTTTGGGGCCCTGCGAACACTGCGAACTCGTGAATCAATCGCGATTGTTTGCAGAAACAAGCCCCTCCCAATGCATGAACCTAGCGGCCCTCACACACTCACAAACGATATATCCCACGCATGACCAAGTTCTGACCCCTTGACTTAACACCACGAACCCTTTCATCTCCACCTCTCCGCAACAAGAGACCTCCCGTAGCGAGCAACCCTCGCGGCACTCTCTTCCATCCTGCCTGCCGCGAAAACCAACAAATTCCAGTAAGGATCCTTCTTTGGCCATGAAAACGCCTACACCCTCGCATGGTGACGTCAACAGGAATAGACACAAGAATGCCACGAACTACATCATCTACCATACACTTCAGGAACACCTAGTGTAATCATCATCGTACGCAAAAAGTTATCATTGTGGAACGAAACGCGTTGCAGCAGAGCAACAGCGGCGGTCGACATCACGTTGCCTTCGAGGCTAGAAGTTATACCCCTAGAAAACATCTGTAGGAAGGAAAAGGAAAAATAACCATGATCTCAACTCCAGGCAAGTAAGTGTGGAAAGCACGTTCTATCATAGGCGTTAAGCACAACCAATTTTTTTTTTCTTGGAGCACAAGCAATGTGCCGGTCACACTAAGAGTTTCACCCGCACAGCACCGGAATCAATCAATGCACGGTTGACGTGGTCTCGTCCCATCGACTCTTGTGCGTCTTCTCGACCTACCCGCCGCTCTGCCCTCCAAGCAGACGTCGGCAACACTGCCTCCACCGCGGCCATTGTTGTCCGTCCCTACCCATTTGCCTTCTGCCCCTTTGACTCAGACCCATTTCGTTTCTTCTCCTTCTTGAAGAACTCTTCCTGGATTTCTAACGTAAGGATTAAAATTTCCATCGTGTGCTCGAAGGAGGCCATGCCTTCGAGGACGTTCAGGTCGTGGTCTTAGAATCTTGGGAGGTAGAGCGACACCTGTGTGCAGCGGGTTGTCGCCGTGAGAGAACGGGACACCGGATAGGGAATGAGTGGAGGTTAGACGAACCCTGTTAAGGCTTAGCACGGCGAAACATCATGGGGGAGGTTCCTGAGCGTCAGTGCACCTCCAACACTTGGTACGTGTTCTTGTGGCCACCGCCGTGACGTTCTAAGAATCAAACGCAGTGAATAACGGCCATGCAGGTTATCCCGGGCGGAATTCTTTCTAGTCTGGGTGGGGGAAGCTGCAGGAATCACGTATCCCAGAATCCTCGGGGTGAAGCTGCGCCCTGTTTGACCGGTTGGATCGATATGCAGTATGGAGGTTGTGGCGTTGCAGACTCAACGGGTTGTTTATGTCAAACCAGTAACAACGGCACGACAACATCATCATCATCATCAACAACAACAACAACAACAACAACAACAACAACAACAACAACAACAACAACAACAACAACAACAACAACAACAACAACAACAATGATAGCGACGACAGCATCGACCAATAATACATCGGTAGGTTTGGGGTGGTGGGAATGGATCGTGGGTTCAGGGGGAAACATTCGTTTCAGGCGTTCTTCACGAGCTGGCCGTTGCTTGTTGTACATCGTAGGGATATCGGGCCATCCAGCCGATCTCGAATGTAACATCCTGTTGTATGCAACAGGCGGCGCGCGGGTGCATCTTGGCATCCTACACTAGCATGTTCGTTTCACGAACTCCGACACGTCTACCTCCGTGACGTCCTCAACCATCCACTCGCGCGCTGGCAGGGCGGAAAGGCTAGCCTCGTCGCTCGTCTGCGAAGAAGTCACCATCATCACAGTCGCCGCCGTAACTGCTTCAGAAGAAGGACACGTTGTTGGAGCTCAAGACCGCGGAGATGGCGGCGGCAGGATAAGGCACGGGAGATGCCGGGGTGAGCGGAGGCTTGCCCAAACCGTCCAGGGCTTCTTCGGAAGAAGCTACGGTCGAGACGATGATGACGGTGACCTCTCGTAGATGGGTGACGGGGGTAGCCTGCCCATCCTGCCGTCGGATGACGTGAGTACAGCGTGGTTGAGAACGTCACGGACGTAGATGACGAAGAGTTGCGAAACCAAGTCACCAAAGCAAGCATGAGATACAAACGCATGCGCCGCCGAGGGCCTAGTGGGGGTACGAGAGCATTGAATCAAGAGACACAAGCGTTTCCATATCACGGGACATGTTGACTATGTTGTACCTTCACCGCGGCAGCAGAGCAAAAATGGCCTCCCAGCCTCGAGGCGGCCGGCCGAGAAGCAGCGGACCAAGAAGAAGCATCCACCGCTGCCGCGCGCACGGCTGTACCTGAGCGTTGTGGAGATGGGGAGCGGGAGGGCGATCGCGGCGACCGACGCTGGGACGGCGGGCGCCCGCCGCGTGCCGGTGGAGAGGTGGACCTTCCACGGAAAGGGGGAGCCGTCGACTTTGTCTCCGACGACGGCAGCAGCAGCGGGATTACATCGGTGGAGGTGTTGTCCGTCGTCTTGCACACCGCGGCGAAAGGCTCAGCAGGCGTCGAGGAGCTCAGGCTCAACACCGACGGTACCGGCGCCGGCAGCGTCTCCGTCGCCGTGGCCATCATGATGGCCGGCCTAGCGCCACGGAGCGCATCACCATTGCGCTTGAAAACCGTCGTGATCGTGGAGGGAAGCAGGTGTGACTTGGTGACATCTGTGGCGGCGCTAGCGACGGCACCCACAACCGAAGTTGTGTGAACAGTTAGTGCTCTGGAACCGCTGCTGGCGACGCCGCGGGTGTTGCTGTAGGAGGTACCGGCGGGCGCGGCTTGGTCTTTCCCCGTGACGATGCGCTTCAGCATCCTCCGCCTCGCAGCAAGCTGCTGCGGGGGGCGCCGGATCGATGCCCAATTGTAGAGTGGTACCGCCCGCCCTAACGAATCGATGCGAACGATCTGCCTGCCTCTGAAGTTGGAGCAGGACGAGCGTGCCTCTGGCGCTGTTGTTGTTGTTGTTGTTGTTGTTGTTGTTGTTGTTGTTGTTGTTGTTGTTGTTTTTGTTTTTGTTGTTGTTGTTATTGATGATGATGATGATCATGGCACTTCTTCGGACCACGGCGAGCGAACTTGGCTGCGCGCGTGGTGCTGGCAGCACCAGGGTCTGGTTGTCCGCAGCGTTGTCCATAGCTTCGTCGTCTTCTTCGGCTCTTGAAAAACGGGGCAAGAACAAGAAAACTTTATCAAGATATTATATCCGAACTAACACCGCCGTACCCGTGCCATTCGGAGGAATCAGGGAGCCCCCCCTAGGCCACGCTTGTGCGTGCAGCATGCGAAAGAGCGGGTTTCGTTGCCTTGAATGCCCAACCGAGTGGTAGTGCTGAGCGGCCGGTGCCAAACATTGGTATGCTGGGATGCTGGGATCGTACATCAGCCACGGCTCTCGCCCGACTCGTATAGGACGCACGTTTGATGTAGCGCTACATTAAGACGCGAGACAAAGAAAAACAGGGCTTTCACTGATCCGCTGCTACTTCTATGCTTCACTTCGTCTGACATCTGCAACACGTCGATCATCGGGATCTGATCCCGCGTGTCAACAACAATCAATCCTGTCACTGCCACCTCTCATGTACACACCCATGGCATGGACAACTCTCGCATCCATGATGCTTGCCTTCACACCTGAGGGGCGTTGATGCGAAAACAATCTCGTCGCCAGTGGAGGCCAGAGAGTTCGAGCCTGCCTCGTCATGAAGTTACTTTGTGAGCTGATGCTCGTTTGTGTGAGTAGGGAGAGCAAGCGCGGGCTTGACCGATAGACGGAAAAAAATAGTCTACTCCCTCTGGTCGGAAAATTTAAGATTTGTTGGGAAATCCGGAATGTAAGATCGGTTTCTACGATAAGGCCATATAGAGGTTGCGGGAGGTCGGAGAGGCTTGATTTGCAGCGGGCACCGAAAAGGATTGAAAAAAAAAACAATCGCTCAAAAAGGTGGGATGGTTCGCTGGTGTCCCAGGGTTTTCTAAAATTGTGGAAATCGAGGTAACACAGGAGAAGAAACGAACTACGGATGCTGGAAATATACTAGGGATTCCACCTAAAAAACGCACGAAAAAACGTGTTTGGAAATACGCGTTTCAGAAAGTGACGGTTGACAAATCGTGTTTCGCTGTCTCCCCGCTAGTGCCGGTTGGAACCCCCCCCCGTGCTCTTGATATTTTTTCGGACATCATCAGTACCCCCTCTTTTTTTTTTTTTCCGCAAGAACGGAACACGCGGCGGCGTGATTTGGCGTGATGTTGGCACGCGCGTTGACGTCCTGAAGCAAATGGCGCGCCTACAGCGTGGTAAGATTCGGCATGAGAGGCATGGCCAAATCATGCAGATGAATACGGCGGTTCTGCTGTGTGCGGTGGCTGGAGAGGAGGAGCTTTTCCTCGTCCTGGCGATATTGTGGCAATGCGGCAACTCCAATGCGTTCCCAACTCCAACCACACTCCCAACTCGAACCACGCCGCCGGGTGAACTGTGCTAACCCTGACTTCCAAGCACTTGACCGCTGGTGTGACTGATGACTCGCTAACTCCCTCATGGGGCGGGGATGCACACAAAGTCCGCCGTACCGTAGGAGAGGTGGCTACCGCGGTCACTGGTGCTGCGGGTGAAAAGCTGTCCCAACCACGCCCACCACGCACGCCCCCAGCACGTTCTTTTAAGCACAAACGTTCACCGGAAGTGACCCCAACGCGTGCCGGTTCCACATACAGTTGCCTCAGGGATTGATAGCTGTGCTCTCGGAGTACGTGTCGTGCGGTAAGGTGGATGTGTGCGTGTGCGCGCAAGAAGTTTGTTTTTCTCAAACGCGGAAAAAAAAACGCACCAAACGGAAAAAAAGCAGACGAGCTGGACTGCAGAAATTCGTACGAAAAGGCGCGGCGGAACCTCGAAACACGTTTTTTGGCGAAACACGCACTTTTCGTGCGCTTTTTCCCGAGGTGGAATCCGTCTATCCCGTGATGGAACGAAACGGTTTGGTGAGCGTGTGCAAGGCAGCAACGCCCTGAACGTTCACCTGAGAAGCTCCGGCATCAGTTCGGGGGGGGGG